GAACAGGAAAAAAGAAAAAACTAGACTCACGTGAAAAAAACCCCTCAACTCTATTCTTCTGAGTACAGAATACTGAATTCAGTTTTTCTAAGTCAGACTCCACTCATTTGTTCATTTACATTCTTGTTCACCTATTTGCATAATATTTTGCTATGGGAATATAAAGAAGTGTGATGATATGCATCTTTTTAACTAGGTATTTGCTTAAGTTTCCCATGTTCTTCTTGTGATTATGGAAGATTGATAAGTTTTATCAGGACATAGAAGCACAAACCTAGGGTAATTTTTGATAGTAATTTACATAACTGAATTGAATCTAATATTAAAATTTACTTTCGTTTTGAACCCAAGTGCCTTGGAAATATGAGAGAAGTATATAAGTATATAAATTATGAACAAATATTTATCAATTCCAAATTTGAATCTAGGCACCTTCACATACATATACCACTTAACCTCATGATAAATCATCATTTACTAGGTCAAGGGTCTCAAAGATAGTAAGTCTTCTTTGAATTCAGACCTCCTCATCTAAAGCCATTGTATTATTATTTTTTTTATTATTATCGTTATTATTATTATATTACTAATTATTATTATTCCATTTACCAGCTATCCATGGCTATTAGATTATAGAAGTTAAACTGTCAGTGTTAGTTTGGAATCCTGACTGCTTTTTCCAATTAAGGCTATTAAGTGAATGAAAAATCCTTTTGTCACCACAGTGGGCAGTTGTTCCTTAGAGTCCCTGCTCCCTTTCACATCTAGTCATTCCCCACCCAGGGACTGTCACATTTAAGGAGGCAGATGGTGCAGACAATGCCAATGCCTTGTGTCTGACATAGATAATCACAGCTCAGGCCACAGGTGAGGGACGGACAAATCTCACTCAGTTGGTCAAACTGGCACCTTAATAAACGAAAAGATAAGCTCATGCTCTTTGTCTAGCTCATAAACAATGCGGCGAAAGAGGCGTTTCTGATTCAAGATGGGACATTCGTGAGTTTATCAAGCTAAAGAAATCAGGAAATGTACCACAGTACCAACTATAAAAAAATCTCCAAACCTCCCAGAACTGTGGAAGACACGGGCCTGATATGCTCAGAATATTTTATCAGGACTGTATTTTCCTAACATTGCATGTGACAGACGTGCCTATTTAAAAGCCAATCTTAATACACCAAAAATCCAGAATCAGTAACATCACTGATTTATCCTCTGTCATAGTTGGACTTACTTCGTCTTAGCCTTTTTCAGTTCAAAAATGTTTACATCGTGAGTATTTCCTTTCCTCAGCATTAACTAAAATCCTGCAGTATGTGGCATTTAGTAGCTAGTGCTGACAAAGTATTAATCTGACTAAAATTAGCCTAATTAAGATTGTTATTAAGCCTAATACAAGGCAGAAGTGTACGACACAGTAGGTAGCAATTATCTTGGCTTTTAAGTAACATTTAAATTGAAATGCAGGTGAAGTATAGTCACATGCCTGCCAGACCTTCCTCTTTAAAATAAAAACTTGAAAATTCAAATTCTGACTCAAAGTCCTTTATGATATAGGTACAGCCAAGGTGTTGGTTCCTTTTTACATAACCAGTAACTTCTACTAGTTCTAATAAGTTGCAGTGATACAAGGTTTCTTTTTGGTAGGAACCAGAATGCTTGATAAATTAAAAACCAAGCCAGAGATCCAATCACGTTCATTGAAAGTAGAATTATTTCATCAAAACTACTTTTCCTCTGTTACAGTTTCTAGAACGGCTACATTTTCCCCAAGAAACAACACAGTGTATTGCAAAATAGCTGGCAGGAGGAACTGTTGACACTAAAAGAAGTAACAGGCACATACCTAGCCTGAATAACTCGTGCATTCCATTGTTCATTCGTCTAATAAAAGCCCATTAACTTTCTCAGATTCTTACCTTTGACGTTGACATCAACACTGGAATTAAATGCAAGGTGAAGTAGACCCTCTAGTACGCCATCTGAAGCAATAATGTATGCCTTATAGATACATTTGTGCATCTGATCTCCATGTAAATGAGCTACCCGTTCCAGATTCAGAAATTAACACACAAACTGAAGCTGAATCTCCTGAAATGAGTTCCCAGTGGTCTAAAGAGAAACAAAAGGCAGAATTTGGATCGCTCAGTCCAAATATGGGAACATACCACTAATAGGAGAAACCCCCTTATATATGAAACCTTTCTTTCTTTAAAGCATGAAGTGATCTATTTCTCTTCTCCAGCTAGAGATAAGTTCTTCTTACATCCCCAATAGAATCTGAGTTTGCAGTGACTGAGAACAGATATTTTTCATCTTACATCCCCAACTGCCCTAGCATACTGCTTTACAGACAACAGTAACAGAGTAAATATTAAATTAAATTGACATTTTAGCTCTCTTTCTGATGTGTCTTAATATGCCAAATAATCTAGATAAATTACGTGATGAATTTGAAGGAAGTTAATATTAAGGAACTTAAAGGAAAATAATATTAAACTTTCTTTTTTGTTTTTGTATAACCTGTTTACAGAACCAAAATTTCTACTTCATTATGAATGGGCCTCCATGGACCCTAATTTAAAATAACACATTTAAAAGTTCCCTAAATTTTCTGTTACTCAGATTTCCTCTTTTTTTGTACCTTCTATTTCTTGAGGACTCAGTAAAGAGCAAAATTTATGGACACATTTAAATGCTGAGATATAATCAAAAAACTTACCTACCAGTTTCTCTATCAACCAAAAGAAATACTAAGCTATTTAAACATTAGATTGATTTTTCTGAATTGAAAGCTTTGCCTTATCTGAAGTTTTATGCAAGTTAGCAAAATGTGACTGTCTCTAAATTTCAAGTAAATCCCATCAGGCTGAAGTTTGCCTCTGCTCTACAATGGGATTAAGTCCACTAATATGAATGATAAATTGAAAAATGGAATGGTTGCAGTCAATACAAACTGTAACAAAATTCTTACTCATTTTCAACCAAAATTTCCTAGATAATTGCATAAACATAAAAGAGAAGAGAAGAGTTGGACCACTATCTGAATAATTGCTTTTATGTATAGTCTTTACCTAGCTAATTCACATTTGATATTTTTTCCCAGACAAGAGTTTCTAGCCTCACATTCTCTAATAGCTGCTTTATTTTTTTTTGCAAAGATTAGAGAAATGTCAGAAAACTGAGGATTGACAATGCCTACAGGTTACTTCAAAACCATTTTAAAATAATGATTAAAATCTTATGAAGAGATCATTTTTAAGTTTTCCCAAATCATTTTTGATTCAGGTGTATCTAAAAAGTTATCAGAATGATATACCTTATCTGAGGATAAAAGTTCAAATGATTGCTTTATCTTCAATAATAATTGCTATTAATTGCTGCCAGGAACTGTTACAATAATACCAGTACGTTATCTTATTTAAATCTCATAGACGTCCTACAAAGTAAGTATCATTAACCGCATCTGAAAGCTGAGGAAAGTGATAATGAGGTTAAATAACTGAGACTGTATAATTAGCAAGTCAGGAAATAGGGAGTTAATGCAGCCGTTTCTGAAAGAGCAGAGCCCAGGTGAGACAGGAAGTGGGCAGGGCACCTCCATCCAAGAAATGACACAGCAATTAACACCAAGATGGCGGAGATTCAACTCCCAGGACGCCTTGAGGCCCAGGATGGCGGGAGATTTGACTCCCAGTAGACCTTGTGCTTCATTTTCGGCTCATTGTAATATATTAACGCGGTAAATGGCACTCCTACAGGTGCCGTGACAGTTCTGAGGCTGACCATAAAAGGTCCAAAGGTGGGCAGGGGCCAATTCCTGAGAATCCCAGCCCCTTCCCCAAAAGTAGTTGGAACAATCCTCCCACTTGTTAGCATATAAGTAACTGAGCCCATGAAAACTAACAACGTCTGCACTCGTGGCCGCTCTCCCTTGTGAGCGAGACGGACTCTGTCTACGGAGTGCGTGTCTACTTTTACTTTAAACTAAACCCTGCACCTTGGGGCCTCTCTCTTGCCTTCTGAGACAGCCTGTACTCTGTCTATGGAATGCGTACCTCTCTGAATAAACCTACCTTTACTCAACCGTGGCTCGCTCTTGAATTCTTTCCCATGTGAAGTCAAGGACCCACACTTGGCAGGGCGCGTGTCCCAGGAACTCAGCCGAGACCTGGACGCGGCCATCCTCTTCCCCTACATTCGCCTTCCTGTATCACAAGCACAGGAATGTCACGCAATACACCCGGCTGGCATCTGGCTATCTCCAGAGTAACAACAAGGTGCTGAGGAAACATGGTCTAATGCCAACGTGTGAAAAATGCTATGGCCTGTTACACTGATTTCGGACTTCAAAAAAAAATTTGTTTCCTTTTACATTCCTTTTCTTCAGTCGCTGGAAATCTTTCTGCTGCATTGTCTGTGACGGTAGCTGGCTTCTTTGAAATGCACAGAAAGCACTTCCCTGCCATGGAACAGCCCCTTTCTGGCAAAGCTCTCACCGTTTCCTCCATGCCCTGTTTCCACCTGGTTCTTCAATACATTTTACTCGGAGTGGCTGAAACCCTCGTCAACCCAGCCCGTGAGTAACAATTTTTTCACCTGCTGCTTGAACAGACTGAATTTTCACACAGAGCACATCATCACCTCCAGTGGCTAGAGATCTGTTCACGCCCTGGAGATGGCCCACATTGCTTGAGAACAAACCTAGAGATCACCCACATGTTTTTTTAAAAAAAAGTCTAATTTCTCTTCATTCCTTTATTGCATACAGACAACTGTTTATTCTACCTGAATGTAGACAGGATGGAATGCAAGGTTTACTAAACGGGTAAAAGGAAGCAATCATTCGGTCAGATACACGACAGGAGGAAAAACTCTGCTAAAACCTGGAAGACAACGTCAGTCTACTCAGAGGCACACTTTCCTTTTTCCTCCTACCCTCCCTCTTCCCACCCCTCCCTCTCATTCACAGATAAGCTTGCATATATATACTGCCCTCAAAAATGACATTTGTAGTGTACTCTGAGAGTATATCAACATGCAAATGATATGAAAATTCGACTCAATTTTCCAGATAACTCAATGTCTTTAAATTAACACTAAATTAAGTGTGATCACTCATGTTTCATAAGACAGGTTCAAAATAACTTTATTAAATATCAAGGGTTTTCTGCGTATCTAGATTGCTGATATTAATTAAACTAGCCACTTAAAAGTACATCAAAGTATTTCAGGGACTTCCTGCAGTACAGTAAGATATGCATGTGTGTGTATTTATCAGTGTGACCTGTTGCTTCTTATATGTCTACCTTCCTCAGATTTCCCTGCCCTTGGGGATCCTGACTGTAATTCAATCACCAATTACACTTTATCAGGATTATTTTTATAACTTCCTATCTTCCTACCTCCAATCTCCCTCCCATTCCCTCTCCCATTCTTCCTTATATCCCAGCATCAGTCAGCTCACAATTTTTTGAGTGATCATCCTAAACGACAAGTCTAACCACTTCACTCATCTAAAATCTTCAGTGATTCTATTATCTTCAGGTATTCTTAAATTCCTTAAATATATATGTATATTTAATACGTATATGCACACATATACAATACCAAGGCAATTTGGTGAAAAAGTCAAAATAAAATTAGTGGTTTGTGCAATTACGGTCATAAATGTACGTTAGACTTCTTGTTAATCATTTTAAATCATTTCGTTCCACATATGACGCATGAAAAAATGATTTTATGAGGTTCTAAAATGTGGATGTCACTGTTTGACACTACAAGGAATACAAAAGAAGTATAAAAGAATGCCACCACACAAATGTTTGTGACTTCCCTGATGTTTCTAGAAAATTGTTGGAAGCATTCAGTCAAAAATTGCATAGGTTAGATGTGAAGAAAGGCAGTGAATGAAAGTGATGAGTGAATGCAGACAGGAACTTCCTGGCTAGCTCAGCAACTGTGGCTCAACGAACAAAAGCCAGAGAGGGACTTAAAAGTCTAGGCTGTTAAGAAGGTATGTCATGTAATATAAATCACTTAGTCTGCCCATCCTTAATTTACCTATTTGGAAATTGAGGTCCACCTAAATCAACTGACTTATTCTCTATAGACGTCTTGAGGTAGGGACCAGAAGACTTGGGTTTTCATTTCCAGCTTTGTCACTTACTATACGTGTGAACTTAAAAATTTCATTTAACTTCCAAGCTTCACCTTTCAGATCTTTAAAATGGAAATAATTGTAAAATTCTTCCTTATATCCCAGCATCGGTGTAACCATCACTTGAGAATTAAATGACATAAAATGTGAAGGGGTGTTTTGAACTGTAAAGTCAAGAATCACTCCTCCGGGAGGCAGTAGAGCATCGTGGTTGATCTCCATGGTCTTAAAGTCGGACAGACCTGAATTCAAACCCAGTTCTGCCACTGACTGGTTGTGTGACCTTGGCAAAATTGCTCTGCATTTCTGAGCCTTTTGCATCATCTATAAGATGGGGAGGTGTTGTTGTAAGGACTAAGTGGAATATTTTAGGTAAAGGAACCAGCAGAGCATCTAATATATAGACAGCACTCAAGTAATTAGTGGCTGTAATGTGTGCTGTTATAATTGTGATTAATTGTGATCAATTTCCAATCTTTCATGTGAATTAATAGTCCAAGACTCGGGGCTCAAACACACATGTCATGCTCACAGCTTTTTCTACCACACCTCCCACAACTTGAACACCAGGAGACCTGACAGTGTGAGCAGAATCATGTCTTCCTCACAAGTCATCCTAGGTCCCTTTTTTCTCCTTACGTCTCACCTCCAATCCAACAGCAAGCCCTAGTCCTCACTCTGAAATCCAATCTAACTCTGGCCCTGTCTCACCATCTTCTTCGCGATCCACCTGGTCTCTAACCCCAGTTCTATCCGAGCCTCCTAACTGGCCTCCTTGCTTTCTCTCCTGCCCCAGGAACCCACTCCTTTCAGAACAGCTCTCATGCTCGTTCTAAAACATCAGTCCTATCATACCTCTGCTTGAAATTCCACAATAGGAATTCGGAGATAAATTGATTTGGCCTCCGTGGACTGTTCCAACTACCTTTTATAAATTCTTCCCCATGACCACTTCACTAGAAATTTGGTGATCTTCACTCTGTGTTTCTAAGGTGGCACACTTATTTTTGCCCCAAGGTCTTGAGACTTATTCTTTGCTCTACCGAGGATCCCCCTTCTTTTGTTTTCAAGTGGTTGGCTTCCTCTCACCGTTGAGTTTTCTCAAAGATCTCCTCTGGTCATCTCACCACTTTCCAGTCCATTACCTTGCCCCATTTTTTAAAATAACACTTGTCAGAATCTAAAATTATATTATTCATAAGTGTCTGCTTATGGCCTGCCTCTCATTATGAGAAGGTATGATGTGGAAGTCCATTTTCTCACCTTTCTCTGCCTTCTTCTGTGTTCTTTCTTCCTGAAAAGTGCATGTACATGGCAGGTGACAAATAAATATATTTTGATTGAATAAACAAATGAATGAATGAGATTTGTAGCTATATCTATTGGGGTAGAATAAAAATATATTATTCAAATTACTGACAGTGTCCTACCTTGATAGCACTGAGACAGGAAGCACAGCAGATCACTTCCCAAATTTCCATGGGCATTTCTCACCCCACTGAACCACGCTGTGCACTGAAGACGATCTGCAAGAAAAAAAAGTAGAAAACTTTTCAAATTATGTCTTAAGCATGGCAGTGTAGACCTCAGTTATCTCATAAACCTGTGTGTGTTTATTCACAGAACACCATGTGGGTGTCTACAATGTGCCTGGCACTGCTCTGGGAACTTAAGACACATGAATTTAAAAAAAAAAAGACAAAAATTTCTGCCATTGTAGAATTTACATTCTACCAAGGGGAGAAAGATGATAAACAGTAAGTAAAATACATAATTAAGTTATAGAGCATGTTAGAAGGTGATGGTGCTATAGAGGAAGGAAAGACAGAGCAGGAATGTCACGCAGGGAGGGAGCGGGTTGCAGCATGAGGACATTGGTCAGAAGAGACCTCAGTGGGAGGTGACATTTGGGCAAAGACTTGAAAGAGCTGAGGGAGTCAGCCACATGGGTGTCTGGAAAGAACATCATTGCTGGAAAGGCAGTCAGTAAGTGCAAAGATGGGAGTGTGGCTGTCACTAAAGTCAAGGGGTCTCGTGCAATTGGAAGAGTAAGGAAGGGAGACCCCGGTAAGAGATGAGTCAAAGTGTCCATGGTAAGGACTCTGATTTGGGCTCTGAGTGACATGGGGAAAAAGTGACATGATATTGCTAACACTTAAAACAAACAAAAAAAACCCTCTCTCTGCCATGGAGAATATACTATAGTGAGGAGAAGGATAGATGGATTGAGGTAATAATCTAGGGAAGACACGTGAGTGTCTCAGACAGGGACATAGCAGTATAAGTAGCAAGAAATAGTCAAAGTTTAGTCACATTTGAAGATAGACCACTAGAATAAGTGACAGAGAGAGAGAGAGGAGTTAATGATGACATCCAAGTTTATGACTTGAGCAGTTGGAAGGATGGAGTTGACATCTATAGAGATAAAAGGCTACAGGTGGAGTAAGCATGAGTTTTGTTTTGAACATGTTGAGAATGAGATGTCAAATCAAGACATCAAATAGGGAGTTGGACAGCCAAGACTATAATCTGGTATTAAGGTAGGAGGTGGATTCAGTTTGAGAGTCATAAGCAACTTGGTGGTATTTAAAGCAATGGGACTAGCTGAGATCACCTGTGGAGTCAGCGTACATAGGGAGTCAGTGTAGACAGAGAAGAGGATTCAAGAACTGAGCCCTAGGGGGTGGGTACAGCTCAGTAGTAGAGTGCATGGTTAGCAAGCTCAAGGTCCTGGGTTCAATCCCCAGTACCTCCAGTAAACAAACAAACAAACAAAAAACTGAGTCCTGAGGCTACTTTATCATTAAGACATTCAGGAGAAGATGAGAAATTTGCAAAGGAGATAGAAAAGAAGTGATTACTGAGAAAAGAAGAAACCAAGAAAGCAGCATCTTCGAAGTCAAATGAAGGAAAGGTATCCAGGTATCCTCATTCAAGATGAGGACTGAGAATTGACTACTGAATTAAATGACTTAGGGGTTACTGGTCATTTTGACAAGAGCTTTTTTTTGTCTGGAAGGGGAATGCATAAAAACCTGATCAGAATCATTTTAAGGGATAAGGAGAAAAGAAGAATTGGAGACAACTTATTTGAAAAATTTTGCTGCAAAGGGGAACAAAGAAGTGAAACAGTGACTGACAAAGGTATGAAGTTAATAAAGGATTTTTTTTAGTTTGTATTTGTTTTTTAAGGAAGAAAAATGATGGCACCATACATTATTCTAGTGGGAACGATTCAACAGAGAGGGGAAGTTGATGGTGTCAGGGAGGGGGAAATACAAGTTGAGAATTTGGCTTTAGAGAGTAGCAAGCATGGTTCACCAGTGGGAACAGTCTGGAAGGCAGAGCATGTGGATGCAGAAACTCATGGGTGTATAAATATGGGATGGAGATTCGATGGGAATTGTCTTCCGGCTGGTTCAGTTTTTTCAGAGAAGTCAGATGCCAAGCCGTGAGCCGTGAGGATGGGGAGGGCATTTTAGGGACTGGAGGAGGGGGGAGAGGCAAGAAGTTGTTGTCTAGGACAATAGAGGAGAGAAGGCACTGGGGAGATACACAGAATGTTGCCAGGGAGCATTAGGAGGCTCTGTGAGGTTAGTGGGTGGGAATTTAAAACAAGTTGCTCAACATGATTATGGGTTTTTCTCCAGTCACATTAGGCTGCACAGATACAGGAGTAGAGACAGCAGTCAGCGAACTGTTTTGCCAGTCGATTTTCAGAAAACAAGAGATAGGCAAAGAAATGGGGGAATGTGGAAGAACATGATTACAACAGTTGGCCATGCGACTTAAATTGGGTAAAAAAAAAAATAGTGAGAACATGAAGGGCATGAAAAGGGTGAAAATAATGAAGGAGTAATGGACTGGAGGTCCTGCAGGGGTGCAAGCATTTCTGTGGTTGAGTAGCAGAGAGTAAGCTGGGAAGATGGAAGGTGGTAGTTCTGGGGGTGGGAGTGGTTCACAAAGATGAAATGACAAAGTGGTGATAATTATTGCTCTAGGGCATGGGTTGGCCAACATTTTCTGAAAAATATTAGATAGTAAATAGGTTTTGCACACCAGACAGTCTCTGCTACACCTACAACCAAAGTCTCATTGTGGTGTATAAGCGGTCACAGACAAGATAGAATGAACGGGTGTGGCTGTGCTCCAATAAAACTTTATTGACAAATAGGTAGCAGGCTGGACCTTACCTGAGTGTAATTCACCAATCCCTGGTCTAGGGTACCAGCTGTAGGGTGTGACCACGCATATCATTGGTTAAGGTAGAGTGGAAGCCAAGGACACTGGAAAGGAGGTCAAGGAACTCAGACACCAAGACATGGCAGGATGGAAGGTGGAAGGATGATCTGTATGTACATGTTAAGCCTGCCGAGAATTAAGGCAGAAGTAGAACTGGAGAGCGTGCTCGTCAGAGAGGAGCTGATGACTTGGAATAACAGAGAAAAGTGTCCTAGAGGTTGGCAGCTGACAGCGCAGCAGAGAAATATGAGGTGATAATCGAATGACATGAGACTCAAAGCTGAAGGTTTTCAGGAATGAGGAAGGAATCACGATCTGAAAATGGTTAACAGGATAAAGTCCCATTTTCTAGGACGGTGGTTCTTCTCCATGTGTTCAAAATCACTCCTCACCGAATGCAATGAACACATTTTAACTTGTTTAAGAACGACTAGGGTAAAAGAAATCCCCGGCAAAGAGTCCCCAGTAGCAGGTGCCTCAGGAAGGAGGCTGTGGCCCGATAGTTGGTAGAGTCTGGCTACGCTGCGAAGCGGCGTCTTTGCAAACGTTAAGCAGCCTCCACCTGGGGGCACATTTCAGCTCTCCTTGGCAAGAGGGCCAGCCTTCACGCACCCTCCTGGATATTTTTTACTGCGTCTTCATAGTAAAATGAGAATTTGAGAATAGCGGTAGACGTGTTGATCATACCTAGACTATAACGTGCTGAAAGAAGAATTACGGAGCCTCAAAACTCAAGTTGATGATCACCAAAGTCGAAAAAGATCAGAACATGCAAGTAGATGCCTGAAATTGGAGATCCGAGGACTTGAAACGCTAAGTCCTCTAAAAGGGAACTGGAGGCTTTCAAAACGACGAAAATGACACCAAAGAGAGATTAACCAGCAGGCAGAGAGCTGGCAAAGTGTGTTCATGAATTATACACCACACCAGAAGTTCTAGCAAGAGAAAAGCATAGGATTAATAATTAACTAGCAAAGTAATAATGGGCTTGTACGTTCTGCTTTTTCTCAGCGAAAGAAATCGGCTGGCTTCGTCTTTCTGCCTGTTGTTTGTCTCCTCATAAAGAGGAAAGCTCACAAGCCAGATCCTTTTTATAACTGTGAATCATTTCTTCCCAAAGCCTCTTGAGCATTTCACCCCCTACTCTCCTTTGGATCTTCCTAAAAAACAAAAAACTTGCAAGGCTGGACTCGGGCTCTGGCTGGTGATTTGCAGTGCATGAGAGAGCTGTGGTACCCACGGCCCCTTGCTGTCAATATTGGAAGCCCTTCTTCACGGTATCTTATTTATCACCAACACTATCTTCATCTCCAATAAGCATCTGTGGTATTAAATACCTGGTTAGCAGTGCCCTTAATATCGTGTGTGTCTCTGCGCTCCACCCTGCCAGAGTTTAACATCCAGGAAAGATGTGCTGATGCATTTTGCCACCCTCAGCCCGGGCACTCAGCACATCTGGAGCACAGAAACCCTTTTCAGTATTTATTGAATGATAAATAAAAGTATGTGGAGAACACACAGAAAGCAAAAGAGAAATTTTAAGTGAATGCAGGAAGGAACATTAATACATTGGTATTAGGTATTAGGACATTCTTTAAAAGTGCTGGATGAATGCCAAGTTTTACCAGGGTTAAGGACAGGGAAACAAGGGCTGAAGTTTTCCTGAAAGGGAAAGGAGGAGTGATAGAATCTCTTTCTTCTTAGAGAGGAGGAAGCTAAAAGTTTAGTGTTTACAGTTTATCGGTTTTCTGTCACCATTTTTCTTTTTAAAAAGACCTTTAATGTTTATTTGTAATCTCTCAATGTAGAAAAATTTGCAAAGTACAGGAGAGAAAGAAGAAAAATTAAAAATCCATATTTCAACCACTCAAAGCTAAAACTGTTCATGTTATTTAATGTGTTTCCTTATAATTTTTTGCCACTCATACACAAAGGAGAGAGATTAGTATAATAAACTCCCATGTATCCACGTTCCAGCATCAATAATTTTCAACACATGGGCAGACTTGTCTCATCTCTACCCTCATTCACATACTCTTTTCCTCCTTGCTGTATAATTTTGAAGCAAATCGCAGATATATCATCAATATTTAAGCATGTATCCCTAAGGTTGCCATGCATATTTTAACATAGTTATGTTGCTATGATATGTGTAAAATTATATATTCTTATTTCATTTTTAATTGTTTGGACTTTTAAAATTATTTTATAATCTTTTTTATTGAAGTATAGTTGATTTACAATGTTGTGTTAGTTTCTGGTATGCAGCAAAGTAATTCAGTTATACATATATATATTCTTTTTCATTATAGATTACAAGCTACTGAATATAGTTCCCTGTGCAATATAGTAGGACCTTGTTGCTTATCTATTTTGTATAAAGTAGTGTGTATCTGCTAATCTCAGACTCCTAATTTATCCCTCCCCCCTTTCCCCTCTGGTAACCGTTAAGTTTGTTTTCTATGTCTGTAAGTCTGTTTCTGTTTTGCAAATAAGTTTATTCGTATCATTTTTTTAGATTCCACATATAAGTAATATCATATGATATTTGTCTTCCTCTGACTTACCTCACTTAGTGTGATAATCTCTAGGTCCATACATGTTGCTGCAAAATGGCACTATTTCAATCTTTTTTATGGCTGAGTAGTATTCCTCTGTGTATATGTGTGTGTGTGTGTGTGTGTGTGTGTGTATGTACATACCATGTTCTCTTCATCCAGTCATCTGTTGATGAACACGTAGGCTGCTTCCATGTCTTGGCTGTTGTAAATGGTGCTGCTGTGAACACTTGGGTTGTATTTATCTTTTCAATTTACATTTTCTCCTGATATATGCCCAAAAGTGGGATGGTTGGATCATATGTTAACTCTATTTTTATTTTTTTAAGGAATCTCCATACTGTTTTCCATAGTGGCTGTACCAAATCACACGTTTATTTCTGATATCAAAAAACTTTAATTGAAATTAAAAAAAATTGCCTCGTGATTTTCTTTCAACCTCCTGCCACCATCATCACTATTATCTCAATGATGACCTGGGGTTAAAAGATAACCACTTTGAAGACCCAGCTATTGCTTCTCCTTAAATGGGATAATTTAAATGCATATAAAGGGCTTTGCACTGTGCCCCACACAGGTAGGGGCTATTGATTGGTAAAATTAATACTGTTAAAAACAGCTAACCTTCTTCAGTTCCTACACGTCAGCATTACAATAAACACTTCATATATTATAGCAAGTAACAGTTACAGGATCTCAGCAAGTGAGTAATGATCTCACCCTCCTTTTCTAGAGAAGAACATTGAGGCTTAGAGTGTTTAAGTAACTTACCTAAAATCACAGAGGTAATAAAGAGTCGACCCGGTGTTTTAGCATAATCTTCCCTAACTCCAGCGCCCACGCTGTTAAGTTCCATGCTGATTTTCTATGATAAATTCAAGTTTTCCACAGGGAACCTAATGATGTATACAGAATCACAGAGTTATAGACCTTACTGATAGATTACCATGAGACTATCCAGTACAAGCTTCAGCAATATCCAAAATTCATAAGAAATACTCAAATTGGGGTGAAATTCGGGTGAATATATTGGGACACTCACCCACCAAGTAATCAGATTTTTCTGATAGCTACACAAGAGTATATTTTGCCATTTATTATTCCTTGTAGACATCTGTAAATTGTAACATCATAACACATCTTACAGTAGTAACTTTAACAAAGTCCAACCCAAATTTTGCTTTTCTTTGTGGTATGGGCAACACTAATCTGAACAGTATCCATGAAAGGATTTGAGAGAGAATGTTCTAAATTCTGACCTTCTCTTTTCTTCCCAGTCTCTGCAATACCATGCAGATTTGTTCCAAGAACCATCAGAGGAACCTTCATGAATTTTTTGACACTGCTCAATGGATTTGGTTGTTTCCTGGGGGCACTGCTGGTGGAGCTGGTATACCTCATCTCAGAAGGTAAAAATGGTTTCCTGTTGTGCTTCTATGTATATTGATTTGATGACTAGAGAGTTGAGAGACAAAACCTTGAGAGAGGGGCTTTGCCACTGTAGTCTCTCTTTCTTTTTAATTGATCCACTTTTGCAATTAAGATAGAATTAAGATAGGAAATAGACTCTTGCTGTATTCATTAATTTCTGGGAATTGTTTTTCTTTTGATAGAAGGAGGTAATTACAGAACGTCACTTCTCATGAGACCCTGTCTGCTGTCTTTCTTTAGTGTATTTTAAAATAAACTGGTCATTATATTCTGATTAGGTCTTCCAGTGAGGCTATCTGCAATAATGTTTCAGAGCAGGCATAGAGACATCTGAGCAAAGGTAAGTTCCGTGTAAATGTAGGCGGGTGGGGCATCTGGATGAGGCTTTTTGCCCCCAGATATTGTCTAGGTGACCAAAGAGAAATTGTGAGTTGAGTAACAACTGATCTTGGAAAATTTTCCCTGTAGATACTTTGTCCAGGAGAAACAACCAATCTCAAATATTCACCTGCAGCATAAAAAGTACCACCCTTATATGTGCTGGTAGAAAAATCAAACAGGATGACATTAAAGATTAGCTGTCACTGTGAAATAAATATCATTGGCTGTATTTTAAATCCAAAGACTTCTTCGTTTATTTGTTCTAAGATGTTAATACAGCTTAAAACTGGTTAAATTTACTTTTGCTTGTTTTATGGGAAATACGGCAAGCTTATTTTCTGCTTTCAAAAATACTTAGAGTTGTGCCTTTAAAATAATGTAAAGGAATGTTCATTTGTGTTCTCTACAAATAAATTTAATTTACCTATTTCCAAAGTATGGGAAAAAAATCTATGAATGAGAAACTCCTTTTAACACTAGGTCTCCATTCAAAAAATGTTAATGGAGGACCCACTCTGCTCCAGGCACCACAGTGGGCACTGGAGATACTGTGGCAAGTAAAATAAAGTTCCAGATCTCACAAAATAGCCAGGGGTGTAGGGGAGCAGTAATGTTCCAGGGAACAAATCTACAATCTTTGCTTGTTTGGGTCAAACCCACTGCTTTTCTTATTTTAACTGAGAAGGTTCATCAGAAGCATGTATTGGATACTTACTACATGCCAGGCTTTGTGCTGCATGGAATTATGTGAGATATGGTTCCAGTTCTCAAAAGGCTCAATTTCAAATGGTCATAACTAAGCATGTGAACTGTACCAAGTTATTGACATCTCCGGTGATTAGAGTCTTCATCTGTAAACAAACAACAAAGCACTGGTTTTAGGATTTTATAAGATGACCTGGAAAAGTCTTACCTTTATCTCTACTTGAACATCTTAGTTGTTGAACATATGTTTATTTTCCTCAACATGACTCAATGAAGATGTTTCTGAAACTTTGCTTTAAAACAGTCTATAATCAAATTACATTTGACACATTCTAGAAGAACTGCAAAGTCAAACATGACTTTCATTTTCTTGTTTATATAAGTCTAAATTTTTCATTAGCAACTGATCCAGAGTCAGACCAAACTTCACAAGTTAAATTCTCCACAAGGCAGTCCTCATTTTCATCATCAGACTTGACTTCAGAGGTCGCCAGCGCTGCCATCACTCCTGATAAGCTAGCTATAAACGTGGAGACCCCCACAACTCTCCCTCAGGCTTATAAACTTGCTAGAATGACTCACAGAACTCAGGAAAGCAAAATACTTGTGATTACAGCATCATTATTGCAAAAGGATACAAATCAGAAAGAACCAAAAGGGGAGGAGCATAGAACAAGGTCCGAGAGGGCTCCAAAAACGAAGCCGCTTTCTTCCTCAGGGATGCAGTGCCCAACTGGCAAATCAACATGTGACAATACACAGAGAACTGTCACCCAGGGAAACGTACTTGAGCTTCAGTGTGCAGAGTTTTTATGCGGCTTTATTAC